CGATATCGCATATCGCAAAACAGCCTGCCATAGTTCGTGAGGCAGCATCTTTATGTACGCTTCAGCTGCCAGTATTTGAACATGTCCAACTAGGCGCGATCAGAGGAGCGGTCGAAATCCAGCCTGCCAAACAAACAGGCATACCACACAGATTACATCTATTTACAGGGTCCGAGATCACTCAATGAAGAATGATTGTAAATATTTCGCATGTTTCTCAACGGGATCATAAAGCAATGGAACCTTATCCAGATCTTAAGTACAAACCGATCATTATAATGAGATTTATGGTGAAATCGGTCAATTTGATTATTCCTAAAATCTATAAACTGCGGAATTCTAGAGCGGACAGCATCGTGACTGGAAAATGGAAGACGGCTGGTGTCATGACTCCACCTCAGTTCTTGAAAGGTATTCAGTGTATAATTCTCCTGGGGCGTCCCTCACATGGAGACTAGGATCAAGGGACTTCAACGCAGATAATAAAAGGGGACCGACTCGGATCATATCCCATTTCCTATCCGTCTGGATCGTGCGAACCCCAGGCCAATTTGGCACGTATTTATAGAGAGATCGAATCCCGTTGAAGTAGTAATACGGCAAACTGAGGGTGTGGAAGGGGTGACCGGGAGGAGGGGCAGTTTTTAGCGTCATGGAAGTATGGAGGTATTCTAACTGAGGACACAGGGCCCATATGTCCTCAGGTAAATCTAAAGTAAAGCCTGGGCTGGCAGGTAAGTGGAGGGATCGTAAGCCTCTGCCTACTGTAGTTAGAAGGGCTTGCAAAGAGAGGAGAGATACATCAGTTGAGCTCAGCTCGTGACTATGCATTTCAAGGTGTTGAAGAGCAGGAAGGTGAATTTTTTGGTATGATGAACCTTGCACTGAAGGCTTTAAAACGAGGAATGGGAGGGCTAAGCTAATTAGACTTGAAGAGTTCAATGATGGCACTTCTCGGGGCACCCAGTCGGACAGAGCGCGAGAATGCCGAAGGTTAGGAAGGGAGTTGATAAACTTCACGAGAGGACCAAGCTTGACCAAATGCACCCCACGAAGGATTACCAAGTTTGGAAACAGCGAAGGCACAAGGTGTGGCGGAAAAAAGAATGGATCAAATTTATAAATACCATAATCGAGTATTTGAACTTTAAAGGGCCCAAAATGTCGAAGGATGAGCGAGGAGGAATCCTGATCAGGCCTATGCCGTTTGGGAACCTCGACACCGTCCGGCCAACACTGATCTAGCGTGCACCTAGTACAGAATAGATCTCTATGCGGTCCAAGTGAGATCCTTACAGCAGACCGCAGGTGCTCAACTGATACGAGGTCGTGCAAGACGTCGGCCATCCGTACGAATCGGTGTTCATACTGGCGTAAGTAGGCATCCCAGGATCGACACACCCGTCGAAGCGAGTTTCGTGTACGCTCTGCTGCCCAATATGATGCCAAGAGGTGTTGATTGATATTTCGATTACTGAGGGACCATGGATAAACACCATCACCGGTGTCCGTATCCAAAAAATCAGGTACAGATATCGAATAGTATAAAATCTTTTGCCATAATTCTATGGGCAACTCTGTGGAAACACTCATCCCACGATCGAGAGGTATATGGTCACAAATATTCTTTTTCGGCGATTGGGAAGAGTCAAGGCAGCTAATTATATACCACCGGTGAAGACAACTGAAATCGGAACATTGTGCTCTCTCGATCTTGATGCGAGTTTCGGGCGTTTTTCAACGTCAATTGTCTCAGGCTGAATTATGATGTGAATAGGGAAAGCCTCAGCGTTACTTGAGTAGTGATTTCTAGGTACATAGCGAGAGATGAATGGAGGGCCAAAGATATGTGCAAAGTTCTACGGCATGTACATGACACTTTGTGTTGATGAATATTGAAACACTAGAAGACCAAAGTTGAGGAAAGAGATGTGTCTTATAGAGTAGTGAAATGATTGTCGCAAATATAGCTATTTGAGATACGACGTTAGATCCTCGATCCTGAAAAGGTTAGAAACCTACTGGAATTATAGATGGCAGAAGTGAACAAGAGATAGTTTATGGGCGACCCGAATATGATTAAATGTTGTAAGATTAACATAACTTGATTCCACAGGTAGGGATAGCCATCGACCGCAGAGGTCACCAAAGAAATTCGGCTCTGGGAGGTAAAGCTGTAGATCCAAAAGGATATTGACGAAAAACGGGCAGGAGGTCGTGTAAGTCAGGGTTGTCGACGCTGAATAAAGGAAAGAACCAAGCTATTGGTCATTGGTTACGACATTGTGTAGAGTCCTCTCCCTCGGAAAAATCCTCATCCTCCCAGGCATCATCCCCATCTCCAAACTAAAAAAGTTGATCAGTCGATGAGCATTGACAAGGTTGGTGTAAGGCTATGAATGGTGAGCCAAGGAACTTACCAACGCAATGTCACTCTCTTCAAACTTTGCCTCTTCTACTCTCGCAGCTGGAATATCAGGTTTTCCTGGGGGAAGTAATGCCCTCAATGCCTACAAAGCGGTCGTTTTAGTTTTTTTTTGAAGGATGGGGGTTTATCGCTGTGCTTCGGGTGCATGCCACTTACCTGAATATCAACATTCTCCAGCCATGTCTCATCCGGCATCTCGACCTCGAATAAGATAAACAGGTCGCCTCTTTCTACCTTGCCGCCCGTCGCATTCTTCGCTTTACTGTCCTTCTTCCATATTGGCATGCCCTCCCCACGAATGACAACAGTATCTCCACTTTTATAAATTTTCTTGAGCCCTTCACTACCCGCGCTCTTCCTACTGTCAAAGTGGATTCCTCTTCCATCAAGATGTGTAAGGACCACCCTAGAGAATCCAAGTAAGGCTTCCGAGAGTGTTATCCGTACATGAGCCAAAAGATCCGACCCTGCACGTTCGAAGGAGTCGTGATCCTTGCAATTGAGAACGAGTACGACGTCTCCTGGTGTCATCTCGGGCTCTTGATCACCTTCGCCTTGAAGAACAATGTGATGTTGGTCAGGCATCCCTGGTTCGATCTGGATCTCAAGTCTCTTTTTCTCCTTGGTCACCTTCTCGCCTTTGCATTTCTTGCACCTAACGTTATACCAATTAGCATCTTGTATGTGATTTGACGAACGGAAATTTCCTAAGCTTACCGATCCTTTTCTCTGATCGTCTTTCCCGAGCCTTTACACTGAGGACAGGCGATTCGGGCAAAGCCAACAGTAGCACCTCCAACAGCGCGAGTGCTCATTATTACACCCTCTCCTTCACATCTACTGCACTGTTTGGGCTTTGTGCCACTTTTCCCGCCTGATCTAGAGTGGTTTTCGTCATTGGGCACCCATTCGAACTGGTGAAACAACTACGAACCCGCTGCACGTTGAGCAAACAACCGTTTTCTCGATCTGTATCTTGACAGTTTTCCCCACGTACAATTCCTGTAGTGTCACATCGTATGGGATCTTGGTATCGTCTCCTCGTCGTTTTCTACGACCAGCATTGAAGCCGAAAGAGCCACCACTAAAGAGTTGCTCAAATAGGTCTTCAGGAGAGAATGGATGGCCACCAGATCCCCCACTTAGGCCCTCGAGTCCATATTGGTCATACATTTCTCTTGCTTGCTCGTCGACGAGAACTTCATATCTATATGTAGGTTTTAGATTTCAACAAAAAAGCGGACAGGTAACACGAACGCGGCTGCTATTTCCTGGAATTTGGCATGGGCATCGGGATTGTTGGGGTTCTGCATAAATACATTAGAAAAACGTACGATGGTGTGACAAAAAGGGTACCTTGTCCTGAATAAAGGATCGTTTTTATCGTCAGAGTTGGTTCTACCTTGTGTTTATTTACATACGGGATGATATTGCATGGCCTACAAAAGAACGTTAGAAAGGCCTGTACGGCCAGCAAAACTGTATGACATACCTTTTTCCTATAGGCCGCTTTGATCTCCGCTAAAAAAAGTGGAGATCTTTCAGAGTCGCACGATAAAGAATGCCTATTCTGGACATACTGGCACTGGCTGTCGACTTGACCCCTAAAAGCTCATAGAGGGATCCTGAGTCCACTGAAAAACGAACGTCTGTCATTGAATTTTCTCAAATAAATATAGAAAGAATATTCACTTTTTGTTGATGTTGTGGTGGTGGAGAAGAGAAAATGTGGCGTTGTGCAGCTGGACCCTGCGACTATTTCTAAAAAATATACATAAGGTATGTTGACGACTAAAAGCGAGTTTCGTATCCCCTATGATGTTTAAATATCTTTATCTACATTGACCTATTGCCTTCGGGCTGTTTAATGACGAGTTATAACTCTGACTTTCCAATGGTTGTGACCGCTTTTTGGGATGGGAAACTGATGTATATTTTGTCAGGTCGTTCATGAAGTCAATATCTGGCCACGTTTAGAATGAACTTTTACAAGGAATGTGCTGGAGTGCTGGCTCGGATGGAGGAGAAAAAGGGCTCCATCAACAGCTTGCTGTCCGATCTTCAAGAAAAGGACCGCAAACGAGCTGCTGCCCTAGTTATAGAGACAATCAAGTGTAAACTATATCTACTCTATGCAATAAAGAATCTGCCTAACAATTTTAGATCAGCCTGTTCTACTCGAAGTCATTCAGGCGGCCGGTCTCTTACAACAGGAAAAGAAGAATCTAAGGGACAGAAACCTCGTTCTACTTCTTGTTCACGACCTGCTACTAGCAAAAGGTATTCAAGCCGGCGATGGACCCATCAAGCAAGCAGTCATGAAGCATAAGACGAGGCTCAATGCCGAGCTCGTGAAAGTAAAGATAAAGAAAGGTGCAACGAAAGTAGTCGATTTGGTTCAAAGTACTGCTCTGAATCTGGATAGCCGACGATGGATTCGTGTCAATACTCTGCGTGCATCGGAAGAGGAGGTCTTAGGGGCCTTACAGAAGGAAGGGTATGTCCTGTCCCAACGACCAGAGAACAATATACAGTAAGCGCATGCAAATTAGATCAATTTATCAAATTATTCACTATTTACCAAAGGCGCGGTTCCATTCAATTCTGGAAGGACTCGCACATTCCACATTTGCTCTCGTTCTCACCGGACATCCGACTGCAAGACTCTGAATTATTTCGGAGCGGAAAAATTATATTGCAAGACAAGGCCTCCTGTTTTCCAGCATTCGTGCTAAATCCACCGTCGAGCAAGGAGGCCCATGTCATTGACGCGACTGCTGCACCTGGCAATAAGACCTCTCACCTGAGGTATGATTACCATGCACATTTTACGTTAGACTATTGATCAATATCTCTCGTCTTTTCAGTGCAATCACTCGT